TTTAATGAATTTATTCTTTACCGCGATAATTAATAATAAATCGAGAATTATTAAATCGTATAATAATATATATAATATTATTTGATATACATATTATATAATATTACAATAGAATCCGTACGTTGATCGATGAAGTAGTAATACTACTTCTGTGTGAAAGGCTTAGGTATTTCAATTGTAATATATCATATATAATATTATTACAGAGGTATAGTATTACTACTTCATCGATCAACGGACGGATTTTGTTCGTTCCTATCATAGCGATATATGTCATGGGAGATGACAGAAGGCCGCAAATACTATAACACTTGCGTATATGCGGCGAGCGATTTGCGGACAACTGTAACAACAGAAGAAGGCGTCAATTAAAATTATGGTGACCATCTGTCACAATAAAGACCGACACGTCGCGACCGCGAATTGTTCCGTGCGTAAATCCGTCGGAACTGCGTAGCGCAACCTTTTTTTCCATCGTCCACGCGAAACACGGGGGTGGATTGATTGATGAACGGCCGTAGAAGAATCAGAGAGCGTTGTTACGTGACCAGAATATGGGCTGTTGACGCTTTTATTGTCCGATAGTAATTAGTAATGGGCAGTGTCAGAACATCCTTTATTATTTTTTGTGTAATTGAATAATTAGACTACCTATATAATTAGATTAAATTGAAGTTATGTGTGAGTGATTTCGATTATTTATAATCGCATCAATCTCAAATTTGCAAACTCAATAAAAGCATCGGATGAAAAATTCATTATACCTTTTTCTTCGTAACATTTTAAAATTAAACAATTTCTTATATTTAGACAAAAATTTGTTTACCTCTTTGTTGTACGGATTTTTTATTGGGCTTCTTTTTGATCTACCCTAAAAAAAATTTACCAAATCTTAATGAATATGTTTTTTTAATAATACTAACTAAATTATTAAGTAAATATTTACAATAAATAAATATTTTCTCAATAAAAAGGATAATATTTAAGTCAAATTAATGTATCAAAAATAAATATATGTTTACATTTGGTAAATATTTATTAAAATTTAGCATTTTTTTTAGCGTATGTTCTATACTTCATCACGAACTGAAACAATCACCCAGTTGACGTAAAAATTACGAGTAGATTTACGTTGCAATAAAATCGGATGTACGAATTTATTATCAACGCGGAGTTTTTATTATTCACAAAACACATTGCGCGATTTGGCGGAAACCGAACGGTGGTTCGCGCCGAATTTCCCAGCGCAATTACGTACACGGTAAAACCCGACGGCATTTGGCGATGCAGTTTCGCGCGAAAAATTATAGCGAGTCATCCGTGCGGCCGTTTCTTGGACGCAACGAAGGGCTCGTTTGCATTTCACGTTAATAACGGGACCATGTGGCACCGAAGGCAGCCTGCTGCCAGAGCTGCGCGCGTCAATAAAATAAAATTCCATCCGGTAGGAACGGCGGGCGGTGCGCCACGTGGATCTTAAAGATTACTCCCGTTTCCGCATTCGTGCCATTTAATTTCCCTTCCCGTGTAATTTTGCTCGCGTCGAACCGAAAATATTACGGAGCTCATGCAAATCGCCCGGCCCTAAATCGATTTATACATACGCGACGTTATAAATCGCACGAGAGAGCGCCTAACTTTTTTCATAAATCAAAGATACGATCACGCGAATGTCTGCCGTTACCATTCTAATGTCATCGATTAAACGTTGTATTGTAATCGTTTAATGTAACATTTATTATACGACTGAAAGATTTTTTTTATTATTCTTTTTGTTTATTTTAAATTTATCAATTGATCGTAGGGAGAAGTTATTTATTTTTCTTTTTTCTTCCTTTAGAAAAAAAGGAAGAGAAAGATAAAAAAATCGATTTTTAAGTATGCACGTAAAAGTTTCACGCAAAGTGAAAGGTTGATTACTATAATCCAATGTACAGTCAGTAAAAGGCAGCTGTTGAATCGTTTGTTATATGATTATTTCATTCAACGAGTGCCATTTAATTTCTTTACAGCCATATCGTTTCCGGTGATATGGTTTTGTCTTCGGATACCGAATGACACATGCTCGAAATGCAATAGCGACGCATGTGATTTTGCCTGAGATATCACTATTGTATCCGGTATAACACGCATTTTATGTATACAAGTGTATCAATTTTATTTATCAGAAAGATTTCTTCGAAGAAGTCTAATTATGATGAATAGAATTGTAATACATAATATATATTAATAATTCTATATGCTCATACATTGAGAAAAAAATGCTGTTGATTCAATTAAAGTCTATATTACAGGCGGTCACTAACATAAGTAATTAATTCATGTATATTTTTATTAACATAAATTATTGTTTCAATAATCAAGGCCTTTATGTCAATAAAAATATATATGAATTAATTACTTATGTTAGTGACAGCTCGTAATATAGATTTCAATTGGATCAATAGCATTTGTTTCTCAGAAACAAAGAATTCAACAAGACAGTAGTATAATTATATTTAAATTAAAATAACATATCTCTGTCTGTTTAAAAAAATTAAAATTGGTCAATTTTTCAAAATTTTTTGAGTTTACATTGAAGTATTTGAATTTTTTTTGAATTTTCCAAATAAAATTGTCTACTTTAATAGAATAAAAATTAAATTTGTATACAATATGTGTACTCTCTTATTATTGCGGATATTTCATCGCATATTTTGCAAGAAAAGCAAGTATTAACGATCTGAAATTGCGACAGTAACTCGTGGGTAAATTTATTCGTAGTCCGTAGATTTGTTTGCGCGCAGTTCTTGCGGAATTATGAAAAAAGGATCGGAACGTTCGACTACTTTTAATGCTGGACGTAGCTGTCGGCGTGGAGTCGTAAAAGTCCCAGTAACGCGATTACCGTAATAAATATGAAACGAGATCTTGCAGCGTAAGCAGGAGGTAAAAGAAGAGGAACCGCGAGCGTAGGCGGAGAAAAGAAACTAAGTACGCGGCAAGAACGTTGCGTACAAAACGCAAGACGCTTACGGGGGTGTAGTATTACACTGCGGTACCACTTGTCAAGCCGATGTAAATCTTTATACTTAATGTTTACGACTTTTGCGCGTGTTTGTGACCGGCAAACATCAGAGCGGTAAGAAACATTGCAGTAAGAAATTAAAAATGGCGCGAGAAAGGCCATCTATCGAAAGCTCTTCTGTTACAGAAATTTAATATTGGATAATTTATTACTGGAAGTAAATAATGATTAATTATTTATTTGAAATATTAAAAGGGTAACGATGATTTTAATATCTAATATAAGTAATTAATTACTGCCTTTCAGTTTAAATTGGCTAATATTAGATTTCTATAAGAGTTACTTTCGATTGCTCGAAAATTTAATAAGGAAATCTTATTCTCTATTTAATTCTGAATTTGTCTACGGCATGCGATTCACTGGAGGCCACGTGCTATGAAAATCTTAATACTGTAAAGTACTTAAAACACCCATTTGTAACATTTACGCGAAATTAGTTTGTGGGAATTGCGGATCTTTCAATAACGTTATTACAGATGTATTGAGAGTGTAGTATATTTTGTAATGAAAAAAAAATATTTTCAAAGTATTTTTTCCAATAATTTATATAATGTACAAATCCGGAGTAAACGACGTTCCAATTTACTAGGCTACCTAAAGATTTACTTCAATACGGCTTTGACAGATTTGAAAATTCAATTTTTAATCTTCTCGCTTAAAAGAAGGTTTAAATGCGTCCATTGAAGATTAATAAAATCAAGTTTTTAAACGAAAAATTCTATTCCAGTAAAAAATATGCATAGGCGAAAAATTATTCGCGATTCATGGCGTGTACTCTCTCCAGTTCGGCGAACATTTGCGGAGGCTTTACGTGATGGTCCATTTGTAGGCGAGTTCAGCCAAAAATGACGGGGGGACGCGATCAGTTATGGACGGCAGCGTTCGCGGATCCCCAATAATTTCGTGCTTCCGTGCCGTGACAGATCTTTGTTGGTTTGTAAAACTAACGTTCGTACATTCCATTAAAACGGCCATCGGTATGCGCGGCAACGATCTCGTCTCGCCGGGCACGTAGACGAAACATGCGGCCGGCGCGGCGGGACGCTCTCATGAAATGGAATCAATCAAATATGAATCGTGTGCACGCGCGATGACGTGCATATAGGTGCCCCGATCTCTCCTTGCTCGTTTTTCCGTATGTCGTCGCGACCGCGTCGACCCGAAACCTGATCAAAGGCAGGTGGCACGTTCGCGGAAGTCGCTGATAGAAAAAGCTATTAATCTTCGATTATAATATTTTGATGACGTGAAATTCTTGTAAATCTTTCTTGAGAGAAAAAAAAATAAAAGATAGAAAGAGAAAGTAATAAAATTATATATTATAAGATAACTTCTGCGCGCGCATTACTATTTTCTTCTCTTTTAAATTTTTCTGGTGTTTTTTTTTCTTTCCCTTGAAATACTAGGAACATCTGATTAAATAATAATCTCTACCTTTTCTTTTTTTACCTTTTTATTACACACGATGGGTTGTCCCGAGTTAATTTTTGATTTTACTTTAACAAATAAAAATATTAAATAATTCTTAAATGTACTTTAATATCTTTAGAAAGTATTTAAAGTTGTATATTTTACAAAATTGAATATATATAATATTCAGTTATAATTAATTACTTCTAGTTTTTCTAGAAGAAAAGAAATATGGGACAAGAAATGATCCAATCGTGTGTACCAAAAAAGCAATCTTACAAATACTTTCTATTAAAGATATTAAAGTATATGTAAGAATCATTTAATAATTCTTTTCGTATACGTATAAAAGTAATAAAAATTAATTCACATACAAACGATCCTATTATGTAAAGGACCGGAAAATCATTATATGTATTAAAGAGTTAATTATGTTATCACTCTTAGTTATCGCTTGTCCCAGAAACTGTCCCAAGGTCCATCGTGAAAGCAATTTGCATATAATTTATGCCGCCGCCCGCAGGTGAGAAAGCGGTTCGCGAGATTGAAAGTGGAGGGCGGAGTGGCAACGACGACGATCCTCCACAAGATCAAGGTCAAGGAAGAGACGAAGGAATGTTGCGGCTACCAGCAGGCCTCGCCGTCGTCCACGTCGGCGGCCACCACCGCGACCGTCGCGACGCTCACCGTTTCGCCCGCGACGGCGATCACCACGACCGTCACCAACAGCAACGGCGTCTCCACCGTGAACGCGAATCCTTCCACGACCACCACGGCGATAATCGCCGCCGCCGCCACCGCCACCCCCGCTCTGCAGTCATCCAGCATTATTTGCCATCCACCGACGACCATCTCCAACACCGTAGACTCCTTTCCAGTCGACCTCGAGCTCAAGGCTAAGAGTAAGGGTGAGTACACAGTAAAAAACATTTTGTATTTTTATTGGAAACACACCCTGCGTTGAATTTTTTAATATATTCAAGTATTAATTCCACATAATGTGATTATGTTATATTTGGCGAACGAATTGTGAGAACTTAAATTAGTTTATTTTTAATGATTGATAGAGTAATCTTTTATCAAAGTTATTCATAGTGATAACTGGAAAATCATATTTTTCGATTATGTCACTTTTCAAGTGATGCAAGAGAACGACATTTAGGATTTAAAAAAACAACTAAAAATTATAATCATTTTCAAGAAAAATACACTGAAAAAAATATTCTAAATTTTAGTAAATCATTTGTTTGAATAATAACGAACTAAATATTTAATAAATATAAAAGTATATTTATTCGGTACAAAAACCGAATTAATTTGATTTAACAATCATTCTTTTATTGAGTAAATATTTATTTACTATACGTAAATGTTCGGTTGGCAAACAAATATTTATTAAAATTTAGTACTAATTTTTGTCAATACATATTCATTCTTGGTATATAAAATTGTAAATATATAATTATTTTTTACCAACATTGTAGCAATAATAACTATATAATAATAGAGCTCCTAACTATAATTATTTTACCAATTTTTGCAATTATGTGTACAGTCACAAACGCTTTTCTCTCAGTGTCGTTGAAAAGATATCGATTGCGTGACAAAGAAACAGTGACTCGATAGGTGCTTTCCACGTATCCTTGAAATAATATCGATCCTCATACATGAAAGTCGATTATCTTGAAAAAAATTGTATTTTATTAAAATATATTAATATCGTTTTTGGGATAGTTTTCACTTTTTGGAAGCTTCTAATATTCTAATGCAGACGAATATCTTTATAAACGAATTTCTACTTTCTTGGAAGACAATCGATTAGGTCAACCTACTTGCTAATGTGTAAATATCAATTTACATTGACCTATCGATTTCTTGCCACAGTCTAGTTTCGTATAATGTCATGCTTTGCAAAATGTAAACTGACATATTGACAGATTCTTGACGTGACATAATGGAATTAAGTAGACTGTTGTTTCGTGATATGTGGTTATGGGAGAAAATCCTTTTACTCCATTAAAAGGCATAAAATGGGATCGAAATTGAAATATATGAAACTTTAATCGCTATTAACACGCGAATGATTACGTATCATTATTGCTTCAGGTTTAATTGTGACACGGTCACTAATGATTCGAAGTATCTCGTTGCGTAGAATACCTGACGTTCAGAGTTGTTAATATCCTCTTCACTTCCATCACAGTCGGCAATATATTGTAATAACGCGTCGGCGGAGTGACACGTGTCGTTTGAAAATTAACAACGTGGCCACTCTAGTCTATTTGATCTATCGCACGACCGGAAAAAACAAATCGCTCGGTACCCAGCTGAATCGAACTAGCAGGAGGTCGCTATTCTATTAATTCGGGATATCGACGTTTCTCGTTCGAGAGCGTGTCGATGGTGTAGCGCACAGGTGCGGTATAAGTGCAGTTTATCTAATTTCAGATTCGCATCACGGTACATTATTTTTTTTATTCATCCTTAACGCGGATTTCCGTGCTTAGCGCAGCTGTCAGTCGTCATGCTGTCGCTTACAATCTGTCACTTGCCAAGATCGCCATGCGACAGCCAATTTTAAATTGCTGGCGAAATTATTAAGTTTTTTAATTAAAATGGATACAGGTAACAGAAAATCGTAGAAATTAATAAAATTTCAATTCGAGCGAACAAAACTACTGTGTAAATTATACGTAAACCTATGTAAAGTTTGTAAGTTTAATACGAAAACAATAGACGTATAAAATAAAACTTTAAAATATATAAAATAGACCGAAATCGGATCAATATAAGCTTTGAAATGTATAGAACTTTTGTCTATTGTTTTTACGATGCAGAGAACAACAGTTCTATACAACACAAAAGTAACTAGCCTGTTTGAAATAAAAAACCGACGACTGAGTCTCAAAGTTTATTGATTCGATTTGCCTTGGCCTACATATATAATTTCCTATATATATAATTTCTTTTCCAACATTTTGTCAACATTTTATTACTGGTAAGTATCAACATTTTTATTCACTAAAAGAATTAAGTGAATAAATTATTATAAAAATAAAAAAGATGATAAACCGAATATTTTATTAGCATAAAAGACAATTATTGAAAAGTTAAAAAATTTTAGAATTTTTTCAATAATAAAGAACAAAAACAATTTTCTGAAATCTGAACGTTTAAGTATATATAGTTTTAAAAAAATAGTTTTATTGGACTATTAAAATAATCACGCAGAAATCTCAAGTGATATCGTAATCAATGCCGTAAAAAGTTTTGACATTCTAGAAATCAGTTTGAGCATTCTACATAATTAATTTGATAGTCTAACAAAATTATTTTTAGATCTGAATGTGGTTAAATTTTTAGATATTTTAGTAAAACCGTCCTATTTTATGCTACCATTCGGTACTTCTGCAGTGTTAAAAACATGGGCTCTAATTTAATAATTCCGAAAAGTCTTCAAAGACCAATGAACCTAGTTAGGCAGATCGTGTGACGCTCTTTCCCAACGAGTGTCCCCGGAAGTTGACCCCGATCCTCGAAACTGAAAATTAAAAGGAACGACCTCGCCGATGTCCGCGCGAGAGCCCACGCTGTGGGCGCGTCGTACATTAGTTCGGAATATTGCATGGCGGTACCCGTATATCCAGTCCACGCGCTCTCGCTCGAATCGTACATTCAGCCCGAGCCGGTTATCTAGACGAGCGGCGAGCCCGCAGCTAACTTGGAAACCGGGGCTCAGGAAAAAAGCCCCTTCTGGCACATCAAAGCCCGTCATCGCGCGTCCGAGCGCTGGTTCTCTCTCATGTCCTCTTTGCTCGTCTCAGGATCGCTTTTTGTTGACGCAACGCTATAGAAAATCGTCATAGACGTGTCGATGCGAGGTGTGCCGTTCGATTAATGTATGATTAAAAAATCCTTTACAAAACAAATAGGGGAAATAAAGACTCTAAACGATTAAGCTTCATCTTTAATGTTTAAATAATTCAGTATGAATTTTTATACTAGGATAAGTGGTCCAACAACCACCATGAACCACGTAAATTTCAGAGAGCTTATATCTCTTTCAATTATTGAATTGAAGATCTGAGTTTTGGCATACAGTTTATGAATTTAGTTGGCTACTGTAAACAACAACTTTTAAATTATTTTTTCAATTTAGCCACAATTTTGATTATTTAAAAAATATACAATGAACTATGCTATTTTTAATAATAAACTACATGTTTTATACTGCGAATTATTGGGGTTATTTTAGTTTTGTTATATTTTAAAATGTTTATTTATAAAATAGATAATTATAAGGTGATTATGAGGATTCACAAGGCCGACCACCGCGTTTTTTTCTTTCGTTTCGAGTGAAAACGCGTCAAATGAGTATATTTTTATTGAGATTTTAGGAGGAGGGAGAAGGGCCGTATTCTAAATAATTATTACAATGGATTATTATTTGGAAGGTTATCGTAAAAAAGGTTGTGTGGTCTACAATATATCATAGTTTATTGTTCACTACGTCAAAATAATTCATTGTAAACCACTTTTCCACGATAATCTCCTAAATAATGTGTGGTAAAATAATATAATAGAAAAAGTTGCTTACAGAATAATAAAGCCAAATGTGCACACAAAACTATTGCACAATGAAAAAAATGATAGGTATAACAACAAAAATATAAAAAATGCATAAAACTTATGAAAAAAACTTACTTTGCAACCCAAAATTCTTAAAATATGACATTGCATGGCCGTTCTTGACGCGATCTGTCAGTCGACTGGAGAGCCGAGGAGGAGTTCAAATGCGAGTCGCTGATAGCAGCACAATCTGATAACGTCGCTTTACGAGAAACATCGCAATGGTTCATAGTGTACTGTTGGACTACCTACCCTACATGTTTTCAATCATGTACAAACTGTACATGTCGAATTTAATTTCAGCCTTGAAATGCAAACCTAGAACTAGAGTATAATAATGTTACAAATGAAATTGAGCAATTCAATAATATTGATGTTCACAGACGTCCTAGAAAAATCTTAATAATCTGATGCTGATAAGCATCTTGAAATCTTCAAATAATTTTATTACCAAAAATATTATCTTCGCTTGGATTCGAATCCTTTAAAAAAAAAATGTAATAGAAACTCTCGTCGTATCAAAAACACAACCTCCCAATTAGAAAGAAATGAAAAGAAAAACTCTATTTTACATTATCATTATTTCATTGATAGTTAATGGGCTTGGGGGCTTTGTATATGTCTATCGCGGTCTTTAGTACGAATTTAGGTGCATAGGAGCATACATGTGCACGCGTGGTGTATTTGTATGCGGAAGCGTAATGCAAGAGATCACAGGCCAAGGCAAAAGAGGGAAAGAGGGAGAGAGAGCATCCGTGGGGGATGATGGCGAAACTCCTGCGAGCAGTCAGTCAACTTGGCTGGCCCGGTGTGTGTCGGTTAGGTTTGTGCGCCGCCTGACTGCCTGGTCCAGACGCGATAAGGCACGTCCGACACTTCCACTGGGATTCTGCTCGGGGCTGATATCATATCCGCCCGCACTGCCGGGGCATCCCCGACGCTACGCCGTTCGAGGTGTATTTCGCGATAGTCACCCGCACACCGCGTGTACTTACGGGGTGCGGCTTACGACCTGGAGCTCGTCCTCGGCGTTTACGTCCGCCTCTCTTCTCGCTACCGAGAACCTTCTCCTAAAACTGAAGGGCTCACGGTATCAGGGCACTAACGGGAGAATAAGTTAGCGATGCGCTTCGAAATCTCACGACGTTATTTAATTTTATAGATGTACTGAATATACAGTAGTTAAGCCCCTTTGAAAGCGATGTTTAATTTAATTACTGACATGGTCTTTTAGGATAACGAAATTGTCCTGAGGCTGCTCCATTTCCATAAACGTTAA